GGGGGGTAGGGGGGCGGAGGACTGGGTGGGGGGATGGGGGGAGGATGGGAAGGGATGGGAAGGGGAAACAAAGGAGGAGGCTACAATGCTTGCCCATGTAATTGTAACCTCTCTGTACACTATTTTTAAAAAAGAAGAAAAACATCAGAAATATACCTTTATTTTACCATGAAATTCTCTTTCAAAAGTATGGTTAAAGGACATCCTATCTTATTGCATAATAACTTTATATTAAGAAACAGTTTCTGACATAGCATCCACATACTTTTAAACAGGATTATTTCCAATGTAAAAGTACAGACATAGTGTACTAGACCTTGTACAATTAATTAATTCTATGATAATTTACATGATAAAATAATTCTCTTTCCACCTAGAAGTTTACTATCATTAGTAACAACAAACTATTTTTCTCCACTGGTAAACATTTACTTCCAATCTCTGCCATTACCAGCTGAATTTGTGTGTGTGTGTGTGTGCGCGCGCCTGTACTCAGGCTTGGAGTCAGGACCTGGCTGATGTCCTTTAGCTTATCCCTCAAGGCTAGTACTCATCCACTTGAGCCAAAGCTCCACTTCTGAAAAGCTTTTTGGTGGTTAATTGGAAATGAGCGTCTCACACTTTCCCACCTGGGCTGGCTTCGAACCAGGATACTCAGATCTCAGCCTCCTGAGTAGCTAGCATTACAGGAGTGAGCCACCAGCACCTGGTTAATTGGTAGAAATATTTTAATTCCTATGCATTCAGATAGATGCTCTTGTTTCCTTTCAAGTTTCTGTTCGGTTAACACATTCTGAAGAGGTGTCTCTTACCTTTGTGATAAGATAACCTGCCCAAGACGCCGACCAGTCTGCAAAGTTATTACCTAATTTACTTAAGTAAATTGGCTTCTTTACTTCAGACCAATCTGTTGACTTCTGAGAACTCTTATACCTGTAATTTTGAAAATTTGTTTATTAAGTAGTACATATATATGGTTCCATTTAAAAATCTGTAAAGAAAGCAGAAGAAATTGTAGTAATTTCTTCATTGTACCCTAGTATTGCATTTATTGCAACCTAATTCTAGACAACATTTTTCCATGTTCTCTTTTTCCCTTAATGCTGGTAGTGGGGCTTGAACTTAGGACCTAGCTTTTCCCCCAAGGCTAGTACTCTTCCACTTGGGTCACAGCTCTACTTCTGGCTTTTTGGTGGTTAATTAGAGGTTAGAGTCTCATGGGCTTTCCTGTCCAGGCTGGCTTGGATCATAGCCTTCTGAATAGTTAGAATTATGTTATGAGCCATTAGCAGCTTTAAAAAAAAAATCATCGGGCGCTGGTGGCTCACGCCTGTCATCCTAGCTACTCAGGAGGCTGAGATCTGAGGATCTCGGTTCAAAGACAGCTGGGGCAGGAAAGTCCATGAGACTCTTTATCTCCAATAAACCATCAGAAAACTGGAAGTGGCTCTGTAGCTCAAGTAGTAGAGCGCTATCCTTGAGCTGAAGAGCTAAGGGACAGCGCCCAGGCCCAGAGTTCAAGCCCCATGACCAACCAAAAAAAAAAAAAAAAAGAAAGCTAAAGACCATTTTGTGAACAGTTGAAAATGAGATCCATACCGGGTATTGAGATGAGGTTCTAGTATTTCCCGAACATGCTCAGGAAACATCTTCCATAATTGGTTGCCTCGGCTGTGGTTCTGCATCTCTCTGCAGTCATAAATAGAAAGCAGTTCCTACAAACACACATTTTACATTTGTTAGTGAGGCTGATAACATTTTACATCAATCAACACTCTATGTATTATAGTTATGAAAATACACGGAAAAAGAAACAATTTAAAAACTTCAAAAGGCTTTGAGCTTCTTTAGGACCTTGTTTCAATGCCTTAAATCTTTAGATTAACTTACTTGGGGCTTACAAAGTATTTGAATGTGACATCAGCTTATACATTCAAATATAAGATTATGAATAATTTGGTGCTGGGTGCCAGTGGCCAGTAATCCTAGCTAGTTAGGAGGCTAAGATCTGAGGTTAGCAATTTGAGGACAGCCCAGGAAGGAGTCTTTGAGACTCTTCAGTTAACCCTCAAAAAGCCAAAGTACCAGCCAACAGTGAAAAAAAACGAATGATGGTATCTAGGTCACGGTACTGGCACACCAAACAAAAGATCATTTTAAAGTAATTATAATAATATAATAATGCCAGGTACCAGTGGCTCATGCTTGTAATCTTAGCTATTCAGGAGGCTGAGAGCCAAGGATCACAGGTCAAAGTCAGCCTGAATAGGAAAGTCTATGAGAGTTACCTCCAATGAACCACTAGAAAAGCAGAAATGGAGCTGTGGCTCAAAGTGGTAGAGTACTACTAGCCTTGAACACAAAAGCTCAGGGACAGTGCCCAGGTTCTAAGTTCAAGCCCCATGACTGACCAAAATACCAAAAAACAAAATAATAATATGTACTCCTTAAAATGTTTAACATGAATTTGAATAACTTTGAAGTATTTCACAAGTACAGAACTTACCACTTTCTTCCAGAGTTCTACTACATCTAAGCACCCTTACCTGAATAGCATAAGCTGCTGAATCTTGGACTCGGCTGTTATCTGCATATGCAAGGTAAGCTCTTGTCAGTTCCATCAATAATCCATAGGCAAAGTTTAAATCTTCTACTCCAGTCTTAATGAAAATAAGAAAAAAGTTCAATGATAATTGGCATATATATTTTGTTGTTGTTGGTGGTGGTGGTGGTGTGTGCATGTGTGTGTGCGTGTACATGCGCATGCCATTTCTGGAGCTTGAGTTCAGGGCCTTCAAACTATCCCTGAGCTTTTTTGCTCAAGGCTAGGTAAGAGTCTTACAGACTTTCTTGCCTGGGCTCACTTTGAACCACGATCCTCAGATCTCAGCCTCCGAGCAGCAAGGATGAATCACCAGTGTGAATCACCAGCACCTGGCCAAGTTTTTAAGGGACACTATGTTTGCATAGTGAATTGAACCCAGAAAAAGGAAAGGAAAGGGGTGAGGCTGAAACTAAGTGGATAATGGTTAAAAGATAACCCACTGCCTAGCAGCCAAAATCAAAATCTTCAAAGGCTCTTTTTAAAGTATAGTAAAGCTGCTCAACCTTTTGAGTAGCGAGGACAATAGGCACTGTTTGCTTTGTGACTGTAAAAGAACAAGTTGTATACATGCATGCATTTTCTGGAGACCAAGAGTCACGTGAGAGATGAATGATTCCAACATACCCTCCACTTGGAGACTGAAAATGTATACTGACTAAAGTTCTACTGGAAGGGGTATGGAAGTAGCAAGGTGGTAGAGCACTTGCTTAGCATGGGTAAGAAAGGTCCTGCATTTCAGGGCCTTGGTTTGATCATAGCAGAAAAAAAAAAAAAAAAAGAAAAATCTTATTTAATTTCACTTTACATGGATTTCTCAAAGTTACTTGACCATAAAACCTTTTTAATACTCATAATACCCTGAAAATCCAGTTTCCCATGGAAACATTAGCAGTAGTTTTTCAACAGTTTTGTTTAGATTCTTAATTAGGCTTTGGATATTATCTTATTAGATTATGCCAGGTGCCAGTGGCTCATGCCTAAAATACTGGCTGTGAGCTGAGAATTGTGGTGCAAAGCCAGCCTGGAAAGACAAATCCTTGAGACTCTTACCTGTAACTTATCAGCAAAAAGCTAAAAGTGGAGGCGTGGTTCATGTGGTAGAGTGCCAGCCTTTAGTGGAAAGACAAAGTTGAGCAAGAGCACAAAGCCCAGAGCTCATGTTTCAATACTAGCATCCCCTCCCACCCCCACCCCCCCAAAAAGATTAGAAAGCTTACTTGCAATGATACAGTACCCTAGATTGAGCTCAACCTTTATTGCTTTTGGCTAAAGGAGTCCATAAGAGGACGAAAAAATAAACTGAGAAGTTACCTGAACCTTCTGACTTAGATCAAGTAGTCACTAAAAACAAGTTGAATAATAATTGTTTTTCATCCTAGTACTAGAGACTGAACTCGTAGCTGTCAGTCAAGCGTTTTCCCCCTGGAGCCAGTCTACTTGAACTTAGCTTGTTTTTCAGCTGGGACCAGGACAGCATGCCTTCCATCCCCACCTCTGAACTGGCTAGGACTACAGGCATGCACCCCCACCTCCAGCTCCTGAATAGCTCTGTACAAGTGGAGTATACAAATCTCTGTGGACTGAGAAATCTTCTTGTCATCCCAAATGACCATACTTACCACAAATGTAAAATCTTTTCCTTGGGTTTCAGTTGTTGAAAAATCTAATCGACCTGGATCTATTGCCCCCAATTCCCCTAGACATTCACCACAGAGCAAGCGAGCTTGAGAGTTGGCATCCTGACAACCTTTCAAAAGCACAGTCACCAGCTGGGAGATAACAGGCTCGACTGTTTCACTATTCGTCGCATATTTGATCAGTTTTTCCTAAAATATAAATAGGAAGAAAATTAATATGTAACCAGTACAAATGAATATATTTTTCTAAAGAAGAAAGCTTAAAAATATTAAGGAATAGCTCTTGCTCTTCTTTTCTAGCTCTCTGCTCTCTCTCCCTTTTCTAGCTCTTTTCTCTCTCTTTCCTCTTTCCTTTCCCAGCCACGTGGAGTGCCAACCTTGCCTGGTCCCAGCAGGTCTACCTGGATACTACGTGAGTGCTACTGTTCTTACCCATCTCTCTGCTCTTTTCTAGCTCTTTCCTCTCTTTCCCAGCTCTCTCTCTCATTCCCAGGCCTTTCCCAGCCGCGTGGAGTGCCAACCTTGCCTGGTCTCAGCAGGTCTACTGAATAAACCTACCCCTTACCTGAAAAAAAAAAAAAAAATTAAGGAATAGTGACCGAATTTCCTCTATCTGCAATCTATTCCATTAGTTTTTTTTTTTTTTTTGGGTCCGGTTGTGGGGCCTGAACTCTGGGCCTAGGCGCTGTCCCTCAGCTCTTCAGCTCAAGGCTAGCACTCTACCACTTGAGTCACAGCGCCACTTCCAGCTTTTTTCTTTTTGCTTATGTGGTGCTGAGGAATCGAACCCAGGGCCTTGAGCATGCAAGGCAAGTGCTCTACCACTGAGCCACCTTCCCAGCCCCTTCCATTAGCTTTTGATTCATTTACACAAGATAGCTTACAGTAAGTTCTGCTAAACAGTTAATATTACATCAGTATATAAAAATGAGTCTGAGTTTCGTGAGTTTAGGCAGTGGGATAGCACACGTATAAACAAATAATTAAAATAACATATGATAAGTATAATAACATGCATTGAGATAGCAAAGAAGCAATAAAGATGAGAAAGAACTAACTAGATTTATGGTGATTGAATATTTTAATTATTTTATGTATTTTTAATTTATTTTTTTGTTGGTCATAGGGTTTAAACTCTGTGTATGGGTGCTGTCCCTGAGCTCTTCAGCTCAAAGTAAGCGGTCTACCACTTGAGCCACAGCGCCACTTCCAATTCTCTAGTGGTTAATTGGAGATAAGAGTCTCACAAACTTTCCTGCCCAGACTGGCTTTGAACCTTGATCCTCAGATCTCAACCTCCTGAGAAGGTAGGATGACAGGTGTGAACCACCAGCACCTGGCTGTGATAGAATATTTTAAATACATGCCCATGTAATTGTAACCCCTCTGTACAGTATTTTCACAATAAAAAGTAAAAAAAGAACATTTTAAATACAAATTTTCACACCAGAAAGATAAGGATTATCTATATTGCCAAGAAGAATTATAAATTTCACTGGTCCTTTGAGAGAATAATTTAAAAATTCAACTCCAAGCCAGGCATCGGTGGGTCGCACCTGTCATCCTAGCTACTCAGCAGGCTGAGATCTGAGGATCATGGTCCAAAGCCAGTCTGGGCAGAAAAGTCCCTCTAAAACTCTTATCTCCAATTAACCACTCAAAAACTAGAAATAGCACTGCGGCTCAGGGACAGTACCCAGGCCCTAAGTTCAAGCCCCAAAACAGACCAAAAAAAAAAAAAAAAGATTCAATTCCATTAAAACTAAAAGTTTGTTCTACATGAGAAATGGCAAAATTGTTGATGTTTTATATGAGAGAGATAAACTGCTGATATACAAACATATAAATCTCTATTTAGGAAAATGCAGTGACCTGAAAAATAACCACAAAATCATAACCTTCCAAAACAACAAAAATCATGCAAATCTCTGGGGTTCAGGCTAAAAGGCAATTCATAGATTACTAATTTTTGGTCAGATCTGATAATCTAGGTAAAACAAAGATTACTCCTTTTATTGAATATGTTGAGTCTCAAACAAAAATGCCTGTCACTTTTTCTTGAACCCTTCACCCTTCCTTTGCTTTTAGTTATGTTATCATAGCATTCCTGATTTTTTTCCCCAGTCCTGGGGCTTGAATTCACTGTCCCTGTGCCCGGCTGTAGCTAGTTATTTGCAAGTATTAATTCACTGAAGATCTTAGTTGTGGTGAGGAAGAATACTTTGCACAAGGCTAACATTCTACAATTTGAGCCACAGTGCCACTTCTGGCTTTTTTGTTTATGCAGTATTGAGGAATGGAACCCAGGGATTCATGCATGTTAGGCAAGCACTCTACCACTGAGCCACATTCCCTGCCCAGCATACCTGATTCTTATACAAGGTTTCTTTCAAGCTTGTAAGAGCGTGAATGCGAACATCTACATTTTCGTGTTGAACTGCTTTCATGGACAGCTGGAGTGATGTTTGAAGATCAGTACTCTCAGAGGTCTCCTGCAGAATAAGCACAGAAAGACATGCCTTATCCATTTTCCTACTCACATCTCAAGGCCTAAGTAGTGAGCACTTTCTCCTTTAATAAAATTACATTAAAAAAAAAGTAACAGTTCCATCTCTTCCAAAGTATATGCCATTATAATTTTCAGGGAAAAAAATTCTGTTCTAGAATATTTCTACTTCAAGAAAGATTTTAACTTGGGTACTAGTGGCCCATGCTTATAATCCTAGCTGCTCAGGAGACAGATCTGAGGATCACAGTTCAAAGCCAGCCTGGGCATGAAAGCATATGAGATTCTTATTCTCTAATTAATTACCAAAAAGCCAGAAGGGCGCACACACGCACACATTTTATTCCAACTAAATAAAAATTTACTTATATAAAACAAATGCTTCCTCATAAGAAATAGAAGCTTCTCCTTAACAGAGGACTTGAACCAGATCTATGAACTATGTAAATAATTACAGTCTTTTCTTTTACTCCTTAATATATCTCATTTGATGCCCAGAAACCACCATTGGTATTTTCCTAATTTCATAGCACTCACTAGATTTCAAGATGTCTGAGCTATGTATTATTTTCCTTCTAAAACTCAGATACATTTAGAGCAGACATGTATGACCCCATGATTTGTGGCACAAAACTAGAATCTTTCTTCTTTCAGGGCATATAGCTTGAGTAGTTTCTTCTTCGGAGAACTCTTAAGTACAATTTGCTGAGGTGGGTAGTAAAAGCACAAGAACTGTATTCTTTCTTCTATGATCTCTCTAATGCTAATATATATTTCATCAGATAATCAAGTTTTCCTCTCAAGACATGGATTCTTATAGCATTATCTAGTCACTAGAAACTCGCCATAAGAACAGGATTATGTGAATCCTGGATATAATTCTAAAGGATCTTTATTCAATGTATCGGGAATCAGAAAATTCTAGACCTAAGATCTTCTAAACCTTAAATAAAAAATGTAATACCTTTCTGTATTCCTGGAGAACTGCTTTTATCTTCTGTAATTCAGGATGATCAGGTAAAAAGTATATTTCATGAAGAAAATCTTGCACAGCATCCCTAATAAATAGTTGAAAGGGAATGTAGTCAAGAAGACAATAATATATTTTAAAAAAAAGGTAGGGGTTGGGAAGGTGGCTCAGTGGTAGAGTGCTTGTATCTCATGCATGAGGCCCTGGGTTCGATTCCTCAGCACCACATAAGCAAGAAAAAAAAAGCAGGAAGTGGCACTGTGGCTTAAGTAGAGGGCGCTCACCTTGAGCTGAAGAGCTGAGGGACAGCGCCCAGGCCTGAGTTCAGGCCCCACGACCACCACCACCACCACCAACAACAACAACAAAAAAAGGTTGAAACTAAGCTCAATTTAAACACAACTCAAAGTGCTAAGTAATACTTTTATCAATATGCAAAGTATTCTTCCTCACCACAACTAAGATCTTCAGTGAATTAATACTTGCAAATAACTAGCTACAGCCGGGCACTAGTGGCTTATGCCTATAAGCCTAGCTACTCAGGAGGTTGAGATCTGAGGATCTCAGTTCAAAGCAATTTCCAAGTAGAAAAGTCTGTGAGACTTATTTTGAATAAACTTCTCAGAAAAAAGCCAAAAGTGGCACTGTGGCTCAAGTTATAGAGTGCTATCCTTGAGCAGAGAGAACCTCAGAGACAGTACCCAGGCCCTCAGTGGAAGCACCAGGACTGGCACACACACACAAAAGGTCTACCAGCTTTCACTTTTGTACTCTGGAGAGCATGGAGTCACTACACCAGAAGTCTGGCCACTAATAAGCTCAGGACACATAGAGAGAGAGAGGCTCTGGCACTAAATGGACAAAGGAAGAAGCCCACCAGAGCGTACCTGTCAGCAGAATGTGGCTAGACCAGTGACCTTTTTTTGTTGTTGTTGGTCGTGGGGCTTGAACTCTAGCCCTAGGCACTGTCACCTGAAGTCTTCAGCTCAAGGGGAGTGCCACAGTGACACTTCCAGTTTTCTGGTGGTTCACTGTACGTGAGAATCTCACAGACTTGCCTGCCTGGGCTGGCTGTGAACTGCGATCCTCAGATCTCAGCCTCCTGAGTAGCTAGGCCTGAGCCACTGGCACTCAGCAACCAGTGACTTTTGAGACAACCAACAGACGAAAGGATCAGCTGAGCTCAGATCACATGGGCAACTTCTGAGCAAATAAAAATAGTCACTATTTTGGAGTGATTTATAATACAGCAACAGATGACCGAAGTCAACTCCCAAACAGAAATTTTTGTCTAACAACACAACAAAAGTTCATAGAGCAAATAAGCCTCATTGAGGCTACAATATTTAAATTGCTTACAATAATATTATAAATAGTCTTTCTGGCCAAACTGTAAGAATTTAGAATTCTAGATTTCATTAACACATGCAACAGTCTCATACACTTTTCTTCCTGGACTGAATTCAAATTGTGATCCTCAAATCTCAGCCTTCTGAGTAGCCAGTAAAAGCATGAACTACCAGTGCCCAGCTAGGAGATGATTTTATTTTATTTTAGTATTATTATTATTTTTTGGGTCCGTTCGTGGGGCCTGAATTCTGGGCCTGGGCACTGTCCATCAGCTCTTCACCTCAAGGCTAGCGCTCTACCACTTGAGCCACAGCGCCACTTCCGGCTTTTTTGTTTTTGCTTATGTGGTGCTGAGGAATCAAACCCAGGGTCTCGGGCATGCAAGGCAAGCACTCTACCACTGAGCCACCTTCCCAGCCCAGGAGATGATTTTAAAAGGCCATTCTAGCAAGAAAATGAAGCCCATAGAAGCTCACAATTGGTGACGAGTTTGAAGGTAAACACAATGACGAAGCAAAGGTTCCCAGTAAGGTATGGCAGAAAAACAAGTGAATATCTCATGCTGATCTCCCATCTGTCTTTTATTTTGAGAAGAAAGGTAAATTTAGCTTCAGACTTTTGAAATTGGCAAACTATAATTTTTCACTGCCCTTCTACTAGTTAATGATTTTAAACCAATGGAAGCAATACTACAAAAGAAGAGCATCCACTCAACATGTAATTGTGTGCCAGTCACTTCAGCTTATGGACAGATGATAAAGCTGAAAAAAAAAAAAGTGAATGGTTCCACATGACAAACAATTACAGTACTTTGTGACATAAACTGACAGTAGAAAAAGATGCAGTTTTTATTGCTATTACAATACCTGTTGTCAATGATAAGATAGTGAAAGATAGCTGCAGTTTCCTTAGGCTGGATGTGGATGAGAGGTAACAGAGCTACTATCACATGACTGAGAAGAGAGCCCAGGTAGGCGTGGTCTAAGCACCGAACAAAGCAGTCCCACGCTCTGTGTGGAAAATAAAAATAAAGTCCATTATTTGTAAAGGTGCAACAATCAGTTATTAGTCGAAGAAATGATGATATATACATACAACAGATTACAAATTGAAAATATGAACTAAAGATCAAAAGTGTATATACTCGGGCTGGGAAGGTGGCTCAGTGGTAGAGCGCTTGCCTTGCATGCTCAAGGCCCTGGGTTCGATTCCTCAGCACCACATAAGCAAAAAGAAAAAAGCCAGAAGTGGCGCTGTGGCTCAAGTGGTAGAGTGCTAGCTTTGAGCTGAAGAGCTGAGGGACAGCGCCCAGGCCCAGAGTTCCGGCCCCATGACTGGACCCAAAAAAAAATTAAAAAAAAAAAAAAGTGTATATACTCAAAGTGATATGTAAATTATAGAGTCAAAAAAGCAAAGTAGGTAGCAATCTTTTGCAACAGGATAAAACAAAACACGTGAGTGACTGTGTAAGCATTTGCTTATACAGATGATGTTTGATTAATGGGTTCAATTTAAAAAATATTTAATTTTCTGAAGGTACAAATGTGATAAATATTCATTACGAATTGCATTCTGAATCTTGATCTTTCCCCCGTCTAAGTAAATATTACCACTCTCTCTTGTGACCCTGGGTAGTGGCAGGAGGCCAGTTTTCAGTCAGTCATACAATCATGAAGATAAACTGACATGATACTTAATAGTCATCCACTGGATTGAGTAAGACACCCTGTCATGCTAGAAAACAGAATCTGTAAAAAATTGGGTCATATCAAAAGTTGCAGTACTAGCCGGGTGCTGGTAGCTCACACCTGTAATCCTAGCTTCTCCAGAAGTTGAGATCTGAGGATTGTGGTTCAAAGTCAACCCAGGCAGGAAAGTCCCTGACACTCTTATCTCCAATGAACCACCAGAAAACCGGAAGTGGTGCTGTGGCTTAAGCGGTAGAACACTTGCCCCACCACCAACAAAAAAAAAAAAAAGTTTCAGGGCTGGGAAGGTGGCTCAGTGGTAGAGTGCTTGCCTTGCATGCATGAGGCCCTGGGTTCGATTCCTCAGTACCACATAAGTAGAAAAAGCTGGAAGTGGCACTGTGGCTCAAGTGGTAGAGCGCTCGCCTTGAGTTGAAGAGCTGAAGGACAGCGCCCAGGCCCAGAGTCCAAGCCCCACGACCAACAAAAAAAAAAAAAAAAAAAAATTTTAGTGCCAAATTAAAGGGACCCCTACTGGCTAGATGAACAATAATATTGATAATAGTGATTAAAATTAATCAAATTTGTAAAACTTTGTGACTGAAATACTACCAAAAAAAGAAAATTTTAACTAGACATTACTACAGTAAAACTGCTATTTTCTGAAAATTGTTAAGTATAGTCACATATTTATCTTACCCATCTGGTATGAATAATGTTTCAGAATAACTTAAGTTTTTGTTTTGTTTGTTTTAAGAAGAATCCCACCTAACCAGGTGTTAGGACATACTTTCGTAATCCTAACACCAGAGAGGCTGAGGCAGGATGATGGAAAGTTCTAGGCCAGCTTAGGCTACATAGCAAGATCCTGTCTCAAAAAACTAAAAAGATAAAAGAAGAATCCCACCTAATAAACATAAAAGAAATAATGAAAATTAGAAATCACTATTTTATCACGTATAATGAGATTATAAATTCAGGCAATAACGTTATCAAAATATTAATTTTAAGCTAATATTTTAAATATTAAAATACTAAATATTAAAACATTAATAAATAATGTTAAAACATTGAAATGAGGCTGGAAAGGTGACTCAGTGGTAGAGCGCTTGCCTTGCATGCATGAGGCCCTGGGTTCGATTCCTCAGCACCACATAAGCAAAAAGAAAAAAACCGGAAGTGGCGCTGTGGCTCAAGTGGCAGAGCACTAGCCTTGAGCTGAAGAGCTGAGGGACAGTGCCCAGGCCCAGAGTTCAGGCCCCATGACTGGACCCCCTCCCCCCCAAAAAAAAAGAAAAAGAAAAAAAAACATTGAAATGAAAGATTAGTAACATCATTATAATAAAGGGATTCAGGCTACTAATTAGTCTTAGCATTACTAGATGTGGGCAATCAGTTATTATCTGTCTTTAATGCTTTGAAACAACAGAAACATCAAATCACAACTATAAAAAAAATTTTTTTTTAATTTTTTTTTTTGCCAGTCATGGGGCCTGAACTCTGGGCCTGGGCGCTGTCCCTCAGCTCTTCAGCTCAAGGCTAGAGCTCTACCACTGGAGCCACAGCGCCACTTCCGGCTTTTTCTGTTTATGTGGTGCTGAGGAATCGAACCCAGGGCCTCATGCTTGCAAGGCATGGACTCTACTGCTGAGCTACCTTCCCAGCCCCAACTGTAAAAAATTTTGTCATTAAAAATAAAAACACATGGGCTGGGAAGGTGGCTCAGTGGTAGAGTGCTTGCCTTGCATGCATGAGGCCCTGGGTTCTATTCCTCAGTACCCCATAAGCAGAAAAAGCCGGAAGTGGCGCTGTGGCCCAAGTGGTAGAGCACTAGCCTTGGGCAGAAGAGCTGAGGGACAGCGCCCGGGCCAAGTTCAGGCTGCACAATCACCAAAAAAAAAAAAAGGCCAGGTGTCGGTGGCTCTCACCTCTAATCCTAGCTACTCAGGAGGCTGAGATCTGAGGATCAAGGTTCAAAGCCAGCCCAGGGCAGGAAAGTCCATGAGACCCTTATCTCCAGTGTGGGACCATTTTCCCTCCTATGGCTAGGAACTCAAGGTTGTACTACTAGAAAATACATAAAAACAAACTTGAGCAGTCACTTACCTGCAACACAGTTCAGGAAAACTGTCCTTGAATCGAAGGCCAGTTCTCAGTGTGGTCATCATTTTCACCCTCACAGAACTGACATGTTTGGGTCCCATCAACTTCATCAGAGACATCAAACTGCTCAGGGCCTACAAAGTAGCAGTGCTTTCAGGTGAAGTTTATAAACCAGCTGCCTGCCTAGTGAGACAGCTCCACGGACAAGTGCTTCCCACCCAAACCCAAGGGTATCAGCTATCTACTAGCAGTATACAAAGTCTAGCTAAAATGTCCAGCTTATGAAGAACTTAAGTCTTGAATCATGATCCTCCTAATGTTGGCCTCCCAAGTACAGTTCCTATTTTTAAGACTCCTAAAAAGCTTACGCAAACTGGCTTCAGCAATATATAGGCATTATATTGGATTACTTATCTTCTGTGGATGCAGCTAGAAGCTACATTCTTGTAGCAGTCTCCTGCAGGTGCTGTATGAATTCTCTTCTAGTGCTCTCCAACTCAACAGTCTTGCTTACTTACCATTTTCTTATCTTCGATGCCAACACTAGAGCTCAGTAACTGCATATTAAAAAACGCCAAAATGCCTAGCAGCTTTGGTTGTAAATAATCAGCCTATGGGAAAAGAAAACATAACCATAAAGTTTTATACACATAATTTTTTTTTTTTTGGTGGAGGTGGGGCCTGGGTGCTGTCCCTGAGCTTTTACATTCAAGGCTAGTGCTCTATCATTTTAAGTGTTTCACTTCCTGCCTGGGCTGGCTTTGAACAGCAAGCCCCAGATCTCAGCCTCTTCAGTAGCTATGATTATAGGTATAAGCCACTGGCACTGGGCCAAATTTCTTTTAAAAATTTGTTTGTTTGTTTTCCATTACTACAGATTTAACCCAGGTCCTTACTTGCTAGACATGTGCTCTTACAATAAGCTTGGATTTCAGCCCATGATTTTTTTTTTTGTTTTTGCTAGTCTTGGGGCTTGAACTCAAGGCCTGGGCACTGACCCTGAGCTTCTTTTGCTCAAGGCTATAGCAGTCTACAACAAGCCACAGTGCCACTTCTGTTTTTTTTCTGTTCACGTGGTACTGAGGAATCGAACCCAGGGCTTCATGCATGCTAGGCCAGCACTCTACCACTAAGCCACATTCCCAGGCTCAGTCCATGATTTCTTTTTTTTTTTTTTTGTCGGTCGTAGGGCTTGAACTCTTGGCCTGGGTGCTGTCCCTCAGCTCTTCAGCTCAAGGCAAGCACTCTACCGCTTGAGCTACAATGCCATTTCTGGTTTTCTAGTAGTTTTTATTGGAGATAAGAGTCTCACCGACTTTCCTGCCCAGGCTGGCTTTGAACCGTGATCCTCAGATCTCAGCCTCCTGAGTAGCTAGGATTATAGGCGTGAGCCACCAGCGCCTGGCTAGTCCATGATTTCTTAAATTTACAATTATTTAATTGACATCATCTGTATTTCTACTTAAATTACATCAGAGTATAAGAACTGTACACATGATAAACTGTTTCTCCAAAAGTCTTAAGTTTTCATAGTGACTACTTTAAGAAATTAATCCCTCATCACCACAAAAAGAAGTAAACAAGCACTGCAATGAGAAAACCCTAAGCTTTCAGTCCATGGAAGGAGTTAGAGTAGGGCTCTGAGGATCTGATTCTCATCAGAATCCAGAGTAGAGACAAGAGGACTAGAGAGACAAGCCACTGTCCTCTAGAGCATCCAGCGCCACAGAGCACCTCATTAAGGAAAGGTGCTACCACAGCAGTGCTCTGCTATTAAGGCCAATGTCCAAGGTAGCGATGGTGAAAGGGCCAAGGATTGCAGGCATCATCAGTTTACAGGCTAGGCCTCCCTGCCATGCAACTGTGTTCTCCTTACAGGAACACTGCTCACTTTCTTCTAGTTGAAGAGGGAATAGGCTTTGCGTCAGTCAGACCCGGTTTGAGTCTCAGTTTTTTGGGTTTTTGGTGGTAGTAGTCAAGGACCTTGAACTCAGGGCCTGGATGTTGTCCCTGAGCTCTTTGGCTCTACCACTTTGAGCCACAACTCTACTTCTGGTTTTCTGGTGGTTCAGCGGATATAAAACTCTCACAGACTTTCCTGCCTGGGCTGGCTTTGAACTGTGATCTTCAGATCTTCAGTAGCTAGGATGACATGTGTGAGCCACCAGTGCCCAGCTTGTGTCTCCATTTTGACACCTTAGTTTGCTTTGTTAAGGATAGTGTACTTGGAAGAGGGCACAGGGTGCCAAGACACCTATAATGTAGTTCAAAAATAATGAGGAGCCGGGTGCCAGTGGCTCACGCCTGTAATCCTAGCTACTCAGGAGGCTGAGATCTGAGGAACGCGGTTCAAAGCCAGCCCAGGCAGGAAAGTCTGTGAGACTCTTATCTCCAATAAACCACTCAGAAAACCAGAAATGTTACTGTGGTAAAGTGGCAGAGTGCTAGCCTTGAGCTGAAGAGCTCAGGGACAGCACCCAGGCCCAGAGTTCAAGTCCCACGACTGACCCCCCCCCAAAAAAAAAATGAGGAAAAACTTGGAGAACAATGGAGGGGTGACATTGATCAAGAAGCACTATACCCATAAACTGACATGCTGAACTGAAATCAGTTGGTACAAACACTTAGGGGTACTAAAAAAGAAAACCTTCACTTTTCATTTGGTTGAAAAGATAAAGTCTCCAAAATCACTTGGAAATCCACATTTTTTTCAAAGCTACTATGATGGCAGTGTCTTCTGCAAGTCAAATCAACCTTTTTTTCCAAAGTAAAGATCCCAACTCTACTTTAACAGACAATCCAGGGAGTGGGAGTGAAGGATCACTTCCAAAAGGAAGTGTACTCTTTACCTGACTTACTCCCCTCATACATCACCTCTGTAATAATAATCACTTTTTTCTTGAAAAAAGGACAGTCTATCCACTGGGAAATAAATAAATGAAAGTTTCTTCAACGTCTAATGAGGTTCTAATAAAGGAATAAAGCACACAACAATGCCACCACCCACTAGTGTTCTCACCATGAGTTCCGGTGACATGGCGCCTCGCGGGCCCTGGTACGGGTCATCACTGGAGGCAAAGGAGGCAAGGATGGACAGACCGTTGAACACCTGCTGATAATGTTCTCCAATGCGCAGCAATAACTCATTGTGCAGGCCTTGGAAATCCTGTCTCAGCAGACTTCCCAGCTCAATTTCCGTTTCATTCTAACCCCAAAAGAGTAAAACAAAAGTTTTTTTTCATGTTGACACCCCGAAAATCAGTATATTGATTTCAACATGGGATTAGTAAATAGGAGCTCTAAGCAGGGCATGTGATTTACTGAGGGAACTGAAGAGAAGACCACTGGAAAATAATTCCAATCCTCTCCCTTCCACATAGTTCCACCATGGGTTATAGCAATGAAGAAAAGCGATCAGACTTTACTCTGAAATAGAACTTTGAAGAGCTCCAGTTTTATCTAAGGTCTCACTATATCATCAAACCCTGGCAGCAAATACAATGCAGAGTCCTCAAGCAGTTCTTCTGGATAGAACATTGGGGTTTAAATTCTAGCTCTGCCACTTATCATGTGTGCTGTGATCTGGAAAAGTCACCAATGTAATCTCTCTCTGCCTTAATTCCCTTTGCTGTAAACAAAAGCTAATGTAGCGTCAAGAATCCGTAACTAAAAATACTCCCATATCTGAAACCTGTCTGTGCACTGATAGGAGGGGGATGCCATGAGGCAAAATGGTGGTTCATGTCTTTAATCCCAGCTACTCAGGAGGTGGAGTGAAGATCATGAGTACTACATCAGCTTGGGGAAAGTTACCAAGACTTTGTTTGAAAGCAAAATTCTAAGGACAAGGATGGCTTGTGGCTCACCTGCAGTTTGCCTACCACCACAAAGCCACAAGTTCAATCCCTACTACCACACACAAAAAAAGAAAAGTTCATAAACACTGCATAAATTCTCTTCAGGCTCTGTGTTTAATAAGGGTATATAAAGAACATAAATAAATCCCATGTTTAGACTTTGGTCCTACTCTAAGATATCTCATTATGAATATGCAAATTTCCCAAAATTTTAAAACAATTTGAAATCTGGTCCCAAGCATTTTGGTGGGGGACAATCTGCAGTACCTACCTTTCTCTTATTGAGCACCCTTGAGGATTAAGTGAATTGATCCGTATAGCAATGTGGATTGAGCAGTTCCTAACATGTAATGTGCATTCCACAAATACTTATTATTATCATTCTACCTCTACATCACACAGATTTACTTTTTCAAGAGGAATAAATATTAGCAATATTCAATAATTCTCATGTGGAAAAATATCTGCAGCTGTCCTATTATGAAAAACGAAATATCAGAGAAAACAAGTCATATGTATATTTCTGCCAGTCTCATATTCCTCAAAGATACTTGTAATATGACACCAAAAAAAAAAAACAAACACAAGCTATAACAAATTAAAAAATGATTAAGAGAGCAGGCACAGGGGCTCATGAATAAATACCAGCTACTCAGGAGGCGAGGTCAGGAGGGTCAAGGTCCAAGGCCAGTGTGGGCAAAAGATGGTGAGACCTCCATCTCAACAAAAAAGCTTGGCATGAGGCTGGACAGGAAACGTAAGTAGGAGGATTGAAACCCTGAGCAAAAAGCCAAGACACTAAAATAACCAAAGCAAAAAGGATTGGGATGTGGCTCACAGGATAGAGTACTTGCCTAGCAGGAGCTTAAAAACCCAGTACTGTCAAACAAACCTTTTAAGCAAAAACAAACACCCAAATATATACTACCAAGAAACTGGGTAAA